TTAGGTCATCTTTTGCTATTTATACTTAAAATAAGTAACGTCATAAATTGCAACTGCAAATACATATTTGAATAATCCGCAATACCACCATAAATGCGATTTAGGAGAATTATGGCTTGCCTTTAATATCACATCTAGCCTGTGAGTCACTAGCTTCCTTGACTAGAGTGAATTTGAAATGTCGCTACGATACCTATGGTCCTTTAGGGGTGCGATGTCGAAACTCCAAACCACCTGGATGCGATAGTCTTTTTGGAGGCAAGGCCAAATGAAATTCAAAGAAATACTGATGCCTACTCCTTCCATTTTTGGATAACTTAACTATCAGTCCTTAAATCATCTTACCAACCTTGGGTGGTCAAGTTCTTTGCAAGTATTACACATAGTTTGAAACCCACTTATAGCAAATATAATTATTTAATTTGGATATTCTATGACTTTCGTACATAAGAGATTACACAAAAATACTGAACTTAGGGAATATTTAACGGTTTATAAGGGAACTTATGAGTTTAGGCCTAAATGATTCCTTATCTCATCAAGTTGCCTAATTTTTAGCCACTAGTGACTGGAACTATTAATATACAGCCACTGACCATATTTATCTGTCCCAAAAACTAGTACATGATAAAAATATAAGGCTTTATTACTTTAAAAACTTTTATAATTACTTTATTTGAGTCTTATATTCTCATAATAGTTTCGAATTGTTATGACATTTCCTTGTTTACAAGATTCTCTATATTTTTTTACTTGCTAAATTTTCGAATTCTCCGGTTCACAAGGCCTTATTTGTGATTCAAGGTTATGAAGACCAAGATGGTGTGGCCTTTTGTGTGGTCGCAGTCTTCTTTCGTTGTATAGGAGTTGTTTGACCTTGTTTTCGCAACTTAGAGGAACGCATCTAGTCCGGAGCGCATTGTATGCATGATAATTTCCAGTCGAACTATGGACATGGTGCGTTCCCAGGCGTTTCGTCGACATCGTCAGTAAGTTTTGTCTCTCTTAGCACCATACTACAACTCGTCAGAGGCAAATAAAGCCGATCCTTTGACTAAACGTGTGTTAAACAGTTGTGGTATTTCTCCTTCTGCCTTGGCTATTCGCATTTCCTATATCCTCGTATCATGCCTTCACTGTTACAATTTTTCCGGGCCTATCTAAATCTAGTGTGGTGTGCACTTTTGAGGGGCTTTCACGAGAACCCTCCACACTTCACGCTGGCGTTCTCACCCAACTTCATCCTTGTGCTAGGAATGTTGATCAGTCTACCATATTGTTACGCAGTGTCCCTCTTACCCCGTAGGATCCGTCTGCTATTTCCCTGGTTTGAGTATTTCATTCGACCCCTGCCACCCCATCTGTGATTCACGAGGCGTTATTACAAATCCCCTCCCTCTGCGTGGCAAGGTGGAGACTGTGACAAGACTTGGGGAAGGAGGACTGCGTAACAATATGGCAGACTGATCAACATTCCCAGCACAGGGGTGAAGGGGGGTAAGAACGCCAGCGTGGAGTGTGGAGGGTTCTCATGAAAGCCGCTCAAAAGGGCACACTACATTATATTTTAAATAAGCCCGGAAAAATTGTAACAGTAAAGGCGTGATACCAGGATATAGGAAATATTAATAGCCCAGGGCAGAAGGAGATATACCACAACTGTTTGGTCAAATGATCGGCTATACTTGTCTTTTTGACGAGTTGTTGTGTTGT